CGGGATACGTTTGCCCCCGTAATCCTTGCACTAACCTTGTACCCACTCGCAAAACCCTCTCCAGTTCCATTTTGTCCCTTACAAGACAAGGTGGACAAGCCTGGATACAGTACTCTAAGTGAGGTCGCACGAAAGCTGAGAAAAGCTTCACAAAGATATTCGCCGTTAGGACACCGAAGGAGCGGCGAATAAACCACATCATACGGAACCCTCTACAAGCAGCCTTCCTCCAATTTTCCCCAGAGTGAAGCAAGGAGGTATGGGTGATACCTAGATCAACCTGCTGAATGACAACAGGGAGTTCACTTCCACCAACTACATAGCGCGTTGGAGGACTTGCACCTCCAATGCGGAGGACAGAACATTTCGCCTGATTTATGGGCATCAACCATAAGGTTGACCAATCCCAGAGCCTATCCAAAGCACTCTGAAGTGCCTCAGAGCCACCAGGGATATCCACAATATTCCAGAGCTTGAGGTCATCAGCAAACAATAGCGACGGTACTCCAAGCTCCTCGGGTAGGTCATTGACATAAATTGCGAAAAGCAACGGCCCTAGAACCGAGCCCTGCGGAACGCCACTAAGAACAGCTTGTCTAAGCGAAAGGCTACGCCCCACGCGTACACACTGTTCTCTGCCCTCTAGGAAAGCAGAAACCCATTTAAGGGCGGCTCCAGATATCCCATACGATCTCAACTTCAATGAGAGTCGCTGATGTGGGACAGTATCAAAGGCTTTCGAGAAGTCAACGAAAAGCACGTCGATGGCGTGGCCGTTGTCTACTGCCTCAGCCCAGCTTTCACGAGCTACAAGCAAATTTGTCAGACATGAAAATCCCTTACGGAATCCGTGCTGGGCCGCACTGAGAAGGTTAAACTTAATCAGGTGATTCTCCACCGAATCCCTGACCAATTTTTCAAACAACTTAACTACTACGCTTGTTAAGCTGACAGGCCGATAGTTCGCGGGCAGAACTCTGTCCCCGCCCTTGAAAATCGGACAGATGATTGCCTTCTTCCATTCAGAAGGTAAGGCACAGCTGTCGAGTGATATTGTAAACATGCATGTCAGAGGGCCACTTAGCTCAGCGGCCAATTCATGCATCAGCTTCGGATGAATTGAATCAGGGCCAGAAGCTTTGGAAGGATTTAGCCCTTGCAATAGCCTGAAGACTTGTGTCTCCGTTATGCTTATTTCAGTTAGGCAAGAATCCTCCGGAACTTTAGTGACCAGCTCAACTTGAGGTAGAGAGGCCTCATGAGAAAAGACACCAGTATACTGTTCGCTAAGTATACAGGCATTATCGTAGTCGGTATGCCCATGGGTCCCGTCCGCTCGTAGTAAAGCCGGTATAGACGAGTTTGTACCGCTACGTCTCTTTACGTAAGCAAAGAACTTCTTTGGGTTTTTTACGGCTGCGTTAGCCAAATCCTCCTCGTACTGAAGACGAAGAGTTCTAAGATGATGCTTACATTTATTTCTAACCGCTCGATAGCTTTCGTAGGTGCTGGTTGATGAAGCCGCTTGGTAGGTTCGCCAGCACTTAGATCGCTTCCTGAGCAGGTATTTACCTGTATGATCTATCCATGGAGGCTGCGCCCGTGTCACCCTTCTCTTAGTGAATGGGATGTGGGGAGCAGAGATCTCAGTGAGGTACGCTTTAAATTTCTCCCAGGCTGTCTCAACGGTGTCAGCCACGGTGATCGCACAACGCAAAACTGAAGCTTTGGCTCGTATTGCGTTAAAGTCTGCCCGCCAAATATTTGGACATGCCTCAGCGGTAGCTTGATGACACTTAGTTAGAGCACATCGAAAGGATATGCAGACATGGTCACTGGCTCCTAGAGGACAGTCGTAGGCAATATCACTTACGAAATCGTGTGACTTCGCAAAAATGAGATCCAAGGTAGACGGAATTTGGTTGCGCATATATCTAGTCGGGAGGTCCACGAACTGATGCAAAGGCAGTTGCAATGTTAGCTCAAGGAGATCCGAACCGAAAGTGCCCACCGCCGAACTGCAAGATAGATCAGCCCAGCAGACTTCAGGGAGGTTGAAGTCACCCAGTATTAGACACCTATTGGCAGCCTGAGTACGAATAAATTCAATAACCTCCCTGGAGATACTACCAGGACTTCGATATACCACTACAACTGTAAACTGAGCGGAGGAAGTGCACACAATAGCCGAGAGAGCTTCAACAGTTTGATCCGGCGACTGGAACACCCAAGTCCTCAACACATCGAGTTTACAACTCACATAAAGAGCGACGCCTCCACCTTGGCGGCCAATGGAGCGATCGCATCTAAGCAGTGCGTAGCCAGGCAAACATACTTCACCGTCTGTGATATCCGGGGACAGCCACGTTTCGGTGATAGCAAGTATGTCGGGACGAGATTTGTCTACAAGTAGACCCACCTCGTGTACCTTGTTCCTTAGGCTACGCACATTACTAAGCACTACCCGAAGGAACTCGGCACGACCAGCCCTGGGTCGTACGCTACCAGAAGAGGTTCTGGTAGGGCAGAATTTGACTTCCGGCTGACCACCTGAAAACCCACAAGACGAAGGCCTTGCTCACCAGCCGCCCGCCTACTTTTGAGGCTTTTGATGGCTTCCTTTAACTTCAGTCGATCTGCCAGTGGGAGGTCCGGCTGAACGCTGACATTACTACCCTTGAGTTTGAATGCAAAGCGCATTAACGCTTTGCGTTCCTCCGGGGTTGAGAGGACTACACGAAGTAGTCGGGGTCGCGGATTTGGCGTGTCAACAGGGACGTTCCCCAATCTGGTTAATTTCCTGATAGTGACACCGGGGAAACCAGGTGGAAGCATCTTGTTGACGCAGAGCTTGAACCACTGGAGGTCATCCAGCATGCGCTCCTTTGGAAGAGCTGCCGCGGATTCAGCAACGTTACGAAAGATAACGCTACTATCAGTAAAAGAATCACCTCGACGAGGCGTATTCACTCCACGCGTCTTCGACGCGACCTCAGTTTCGACCGGTTTGGCAGATGGCACGGCGCGTTTCTTCGCCAAGTGAGCTGGAGTAATCGAGGTTGAGGCTTTATCCTCTGCCTCTAACTCCCTCACCGGTCTAGTCTTTTCAGACTTTGCGGGTGTGGCCGAAGTCGACACCGCGCGTTGCTTCGCCAATGGAACTGGGGTGATTGGAGTTGGAGTTTTGTGTTCCACCTCCAATACCTTAATGCTTTCAATACCTTCAGGCTTTGAAACAGCCTTAGGAACTTTCTTAGCCCTCTTCCTCCTGCTTTTATTGGGCCCAGGGGCAATAAGTTCGGTCACGCTTTGGACGGCTTCCGGTACGACATCAGAGGCCTCTTTAGAGGCATTCTGGACCGCTGGGACACACGACACGGTAGACATCACCTCAGTCGGATTTTCATCGACAGCAATTGAGGTTAGTTGCGTGTCTTCCTTCAATGAGCCGACCTCAATAGAGACTCCCATATTTCTCATCAGTAGCTCCACTTTCCGATCAAGAGATATGAGGAAAGACCACAACTGCTGGTTACCCAGCCCGAGGTTGCTCGATGTCTCCTCAGTGACCTCAAGAGGCGTAGATCGACGGCGGCGGCATAGAAGACAATGGAACAGCATGCTATCGCTAGTCGAAAGCATTGCGTACTGATCAGGGCTCAAATCGGTGCAGGTCTCATGGTACCAGCAGTTGCATACATAGCACTGCATGCCACCAGACTCGTCCGTCACGGGCTTTGAGCAGCTCCCGCTGCCACATACAGCATTTGATTCGCTGATCAATGCAGCCGAAGACATATTAGCGCCGGTATTCAGTGAATCCGACATGACGCTTTCAAAGAGTGTGATACAAGTATCAAAACGTAAAACCGACAAGCTGTTACCTGCAGGGCAGTCAACAGAAACAGTTATGGGTTAAACAAGGTGCAAAACGGATTACAAAACACAAAAATACCGGAAAAATAGCCAGAGGCTGAACCCGAAAAAGATGGACGACGTTGGTATGTACCCGAAAACGGGTACGACGTAATCCGGGGAAAACGATGATCCAAAATTCTTTGGATCAAGCGAAATTTGACAAAAGTCAAATTTTTTGCACGACACTTGTAAACACTGTTCCGGAACTGTCCTTTGAAAGTAAAACCTCAAAAAGACAGCACGCTCAAAAATTTCAATTTACCGCCAAGGAGGAGGAAACCGATGTGATCGCTATCTCCTAGAGGCGGTGCATAAGTAAGTTCACGTATAAATCTAGACAGTAGAACTTAGAAGTAGCAAGGACGGGGCTTGAGCTTTCGTGAACGTAGTAGGCTGATCAACGAAGTGGTGCAATGGTACCTGTAGCGCTTGTACATATCTTTCTTCCCAATTGTACTTTCCTATTCTCACTTCCATTATTATTGTAGTTTTGTTTTAACTGACCAACGACTGATACAACACTTTTCTCGGGTTTCGATTCGCCTTCTGGTTTCCGCTACGCGTGTTGTGCTGTTGGTCGTCGTCTGTCTGCTGGCCTCGTCCATCGATCATCGGATCTAACGCGTCGATTTATTGTGCCGACTAAGTTCCGTCTTCCGACCAGATTGTGCGACTAACTGACAGCCTAGCGAAGATCATGCTTTACCTAAGGTCAGCTACAGCATTCTTATTTATAGACTGAGTTCTTATATGTAGTTAAGCCCTTACGCGTTGGTCTTTCCACTACATACCACCGTCAGATGGAGAAGAGCAGCGGAAAGCCCACCGGTTGCTGAGTGACATGCTAATGTCTGCTAGTCTATCTCCAAGATGATAAAATCTCAGATTAGGCACCCGCTAGTTGAATGGTCGTGAAGGAAGTCAATGAGACAATACAACGTGTTGTCGGGAGCACACAACTGTTCGTATTTAATTTTGCACTTAAAATTATGATAAAAAAATTTTCCAAAAGCACGGTGGGGTGCAGTTATCTTCACTATTCTTACTCTTAATACGCGAGACTTAGACGCACTTGGACTTACATAATATTTGACTAGACCGGAAAATGGCAATTACCAAGAGGACACGCGTCACTGGGGAGCGTCGGATTAATCGAAAACGCTGCTCATTATTCGCAGACATATCGGGATACTTTAGAGATGGCAGCGTTTGCTAATTGGTTGGATGGGAGTGAGGCAACTGACATTTGAACTCTGTCATTCTATTTTTGTGCACTTCTACACTGTGTTTTAGTGCGCTAAAACAGTAGCAACTGCTGGCCGCGGATTCGAATGCACTTAGATATCAAGTTTACTTGCGTTCATAGGGGACTGGAACGATAGGGTGAAGCTCGAAAACGTTCCTTCTTGAGCAGCTCGTCGATCAAGGAGTCGATAGGAGGTACTCCGACTTCTTGATGAACCTAAAACGTAAACACACAAAAACGCTCTCATCCACCACTTTATTGCCTACGTTCCTTACATTAGCCACCTCTGTTATGTGAGGTACGTGGAGTAAGTAGGAAAATAAGAAAAACCGAAGTTAAAGAGTAAGGGCAATCAGTTAAAAGAAGAGAAAAATACCACTTTTGAGGAAAAGTACAGAAAGCGGATCCGAATTATGAAGATGGGCATTAGTTAGGAAAATGGAAATGTTTCGTGTTACCACTAAGCGCATCTGATTGACGCTCAAATCCCTTAACCGATGCTTCCTGAACAACATTTTCTGGAAGCTAGTTCTAGCGCTCGATTACTCGAAAAGATATCCGTGTCTCCGCTGCAATATATTCCGGATGGCAGGTTCGAGACACGGACGAGAAGGCTGCAAACGAACGACACGTGAGAATCAGCGACCGAGTAACTAACACAGTAGCTCGTACGAAACGGCAATCATGCAAAACGACGATGCTTTAATGAGCCGACCACAAGAACGAGCAAGCTGGACCGAGACAGATGTATTCAACAGCGCGGCATGCGAACAGCGTGGTACACGGCAAGCAAGTATATAAACAACGAGTTTACAAACAACAGGTACTGGTGCTTGGCTTTTGATTCCCTTCATTCATTGTGCATTCGGTCCGCCAAGCCCTGTAAAATAAGCAAAGGAGACATTAGTCATGGCGGTCAATTTAAACAATACATTGCGGTTTCAACTGTACTATATTATCTCCCCTTCTATGTGAGGCACTGTCCCCAGTGCCAGCGCGTCTGGAACCACAGCGAGGGCCCCCCTTCAGCTGGCACTTCTACAGTGTATTCGACTATCGGGAGACAACCGGGTGGCACAATTCTATCTACAGGCGTAGAACTTGAAGACGGTGTCATCGGTTTCAGTTGGTTGTAATGAACGGTCAGTACGTCGGCCTTTGGAGGCGTAACCTTTCGAAGCACATACACAGTAGGCGAGCGTACGAACACAATCTCATATGGCCCCTATTATTTCCGATGGAATTTTCCCAGTTCGACAGCTGGAGGTCTTGGTCGATGTAGCCATACACAGTCACCTTTTCGGTATTCAGGGCCTCGACTTTGACGATCGTAATACTCCTTCTGGCTGTGTTGCGCTCTGTTCATATGCTCCTGCACGCTTTGGAAGGCTACGCGGAGTTGCTCACGGGTTATGCGGACGTATTCCAACAAAGAGTAAGCTTCAACCGGACAGACTGGTGATAGTAATTCCAGAGGTAAGCGAATCTCACGGATGAGAGTAAGATAAGCTGGAGAATAGCCGGGTGTAGAGTGTACCGAGGCCCGATAGGCAAGCATACATTGTGGCAATGCTTCGTCCCACTGATTAGACTGATGGCGCTCGACGAAGCTCTGAAGAATAGCCCTGATAGCCCTGTTGGTCCTCTGAACCAGCCCATTTCCTTGTGGACGATACGGTGTAGTTCGTGTCTTTTTAATGGCTAGCAAGCGGCACATTTCTTGCATTAGATGACTCTCAAAAGCCGCGCCCTGATCGGAGTGCAAGGATATGGGTGCGCCGTAACGAGCCACCCACTCGTTGACGATGGTGGAAGCGACAGTGGATGCATTTTGGCATCTGATAGGTATTGCCTCGCACCACTTCGTGAAGTAGTCTATCATAACTAGTATGAAGCAGTTCCCGCTCTTTGTTATCGGCAGAGGACCAATGATGTCTACTCCAATTCGTTGCCCTGGTGCGGAAGTAAGTATTGGTTCCAAAGGAGCACGAGGGACCGGCACCATTGGTTTCAAAGTAGCACAGAGCTCACATGACGCACAGAATTGAACGACATCGGCGTGGATGCCCGGCCACCAATACCGTTGTCGAACTGCAGCCTCCGTTTTCAACTGACCGGAATGGCCCAATTGTTGATGAACTTTCTGTAGTATTCCAAGAGATCGGGTCATCGGAGTAATCAGTTTCGGACCGGATTTATCAACGCGATACAGAACACCGTCGATGATTCTCAAGTCCTTCCAGTGCCCGAGTAGGGAGCGCTCTTCTGTGGTACGTTCACGAAGTTCAGTTCCAGTGGGTTTCGAGGAGCCATTCAGCTGTCGGTTGTAGGTGTTAGCTATATACGGGTCACATGCTTGCTCTTCGGCCCACGCAATACCAGTCTCTGGGGTTACGAAAGCCGAATTTACCTGTTCGGATCTCACTAACCTTGACAGCGCGTCTGCATTAGAGTGTCGTGTCCCTGGACGATATTCGCAGGTAAAATCGTATTCTTGAAGCTGTTCCTGCCATCTTGCTATCTGACCCTCCGGCTCACGGAAGTTTTTTAACCACTGAAGTGACTGGTGATCAGTGCGAACCTGAAATGACTTTCCAAGTAGGTACGGCCTGAAATGTCGCAAAAAGCTAACCAGCGCCAGTAGTTCCCGTCGAGTGGTGCTGTACTTTCTCTCGCGTTTATCTAAGCGGCGACTAGCGTAGGAGATCACAACTTCGCCTGCCGGTGTTCTCTGGGATAAAACTGCGCCGATCGCTTCATCGCTCGCATCTGTATCCAACACAAAAGCTCCCGACTCTGGTGAGGTGTCAGGGAGAGCCAAGATTGGGGGTGTCGTAAGATGAACTTTCAACTCTGCAAAAGCATTCTGACATTCGTTAGTCCAGCAGAATTTTCGTCCCTTCTCCGTTAAACGATGTAAGGGGGCTGAGATGGCCGCAAAATTAAAAATAAACCGCCGATAGTACGAAGCCAATCCTAAGAAACTTCGGAGTTCTGCTGTCGTTTTGGGTTGTGGCCAGGAAGTAATTTTTTCACATTTGGCGGGGTCGGTCCTCACACCTTCATGGGAGATAATGTGTCCTAAGTACTTAACTTCACGCAGGAGAAAATGACATTTTGGACCACGTAGTTTCAAGCCCGCCAGACTCAGCCGATCCAGTACGAGGCGCAGCCGCCGGTTATGCTCCTCAATCGATCGCCCATAAACGATTATGTCGTCCAAATAAATTAAACAGCTACCTGGTGTTAGGCCCTCCAGGGCTTTCTGCATTAGTCTCTGAAACGTAGCCGGAGCATTAACCAGACCAAAAGGCATAGTTTCGAATTCATATAGACCGTTGGGAACAGTGAACGCCGTTTTCTCACGATCCTTGGGTCTTACTTCTACTTGCCAGTAACCACATGCAAGATCCAACGTAGAGAACCAGCATGAACCATGGAGTGCATCGAAGGTGGCATCAATACGGGGCAGTGGAAATGAGTCTTTACGTGTTACCTCGTTAAGCTTTCGATAATCAACACAAAGCCGTAAGGTCCCGTCTTGCTTCTTCACTAAAACGATTGGCGACGCCCACGGTGACGATGAAGGTTTAATGATACGTTTGTCCAGCATCTCTTTGATCATTGACCCTAACTGCGGTTCGTAATGAACCGGCAACCTGCGCGCATGTTGACGAATAGGTCGATGGGACATGGTGTCAATCTCATGTTCAACTAGGTTCGTACGGCCAGGAGAATCAGCTGTCGAAAACACCTCTTCAAACTCTCGTAGCACTGAGATTAACTGGTCAGTGTTGTCTGTGGTAACGTTAGTGCGTCCAATAATTGGCTCAATGACCTCCTTTTGGAAATGCGATGTTACTGAACAAGTGGCTGCAGTAGTGAAGGCTCCTCGACCGTCCTGGTGATGATCAATGACGGTTGGCGTAGGAGTCAGCAATACGGTCCCGCATTTAAGTGCCACTGTACAACCATGTCGGGTGAGGAAATCCATTCCCAAAATAGCGTCCCAGGTCAAATTTCGACAAGCTATAAAGTTATGAGTGGCTACTACCCCATCAAGTTTGACGCGTGCTGGCAGTGTAAACTCTGTTCGCAACTCTACCCCATTAGCGGTGATAACACGAGGCTGCTGGCTGGTAACCGTGCACACGTTCCTAAGGCTGTGGGCGATATCAAGGCGAAGTAGAGAACACGAAGCACCAGTATCAATCAAAAAATGCACGCTAATATCATCTAAACACCCTGGTATCGTCAAAGGTTTAGAGTGTAGATTGCTAGTGAAAGTTGATGCCAAAAACTGACAATTGTGCAAAGTTGACCTACCTCGTGGTTTTCGAAAAACAATAGGTGGGTTGTGTCCACAGCGCTGGGCCCGTCTGCCGAACCGCTGACAGTATACGCAGTTCTCCACGGGGGATTTTCGTGCTGGGGAATGGTGCCTGTGATCAGCTGCGAAAACGTCGGTCGATGGGCGTAAAGTTGAACAACTATCATGACCAAGATGGGTTCGGTCGGTTTTGACTTGCTCCAAAAATTCCCGATTCCTGGCCTTTTCCAGCACCTCCTCCAGCGAACGAGGAAGTTTCAATGTATATTTGTCACGGAGGTACTGGTCGCGTAGGCCCATCGCAAATCTCTCACATATCCACTTTTCCAGATCCGCGTATTGAAGATCTGGAAACCCTTTGTGAGCCAAAATTCGGAGGGCTGCGAGGAAGGCATCTGCGTTCTCTGAGGGTAGCTGACGCCGAGCAAAGAATGTGTCACGGTAGAACGCAACGGGGTGGCATTTGAAAAACAAGCTTCGGAGAGTGGCCCAGATCTTTTCCACTGGTGAATTAGCTGGTACGCTCATCGTTAAGAAAATCTGCAATGCTTCTT